AGCGCAATGAATATCTCCTTTCTCCATGCAGATGTCAGCGTTCAGCTCTTACTGAATGGCCTCAATATTGTCAATGGTATCGGAAATCTTATCTGTCTACGCTGAGACATTCTGCTCATTGGTTTGTCCTATGTATGCTATCTAGTATACCTAGTATACCTAGTATTCTATCTAGATAGTACTATATACTATCTAGTTTTAAACTCAACACGGTAAATGGCAGCTGTGGTTTACAGCCTAAGCTGGTTTTACTTACAAGACAAAATCTTCATTTAAAATTTACGAATCTCCTCACACTATCAACAAATTCTACTATGACAGACTTATGATTGCATATTGTGCGATAATCCAGCTATGCCTCGAAATCCACGTTTTCGTCAAAAATCTCTTGGCTGTATGCCTTGTCGACGGTTAGCTGTGATAAATAAAACGTGTACGGTCAGATGAAGTCAGAATTGACCACGACCACCGTGAGCCATAAATTTCGCACGTGAAAGCTTAGACTGTTGGTGGAGGAGTTTTCGGGTTCGTTTGTTATTCCTCTGAATCCCCGACCGACCAGCATCAAAACGATATCAACCGGACATCAAACATGTAATAAACTCACACGACCGCATGCGACCATGTTGACCGATTGTGGTGGCTGTAACCACGAGAATCCTGAAGATGATGATGATGATGATGATGATGATGATGATGATGATGATGCAAGAAAGTTCACCGTTCGACTGATGGAAAGAATGCCGCTCCTCCAAAAAGGGCTAGATGATTTTGATAACCTTAGTTCTTTACTGAGAAATAGTGCCACTGATATCTGTCTGAATGGGATCCTAACGCCGAGTTTGGGCTTGCTGGTTGTCTCTGACGTGCGAGCCTAGTACTTCCCAATGCCTTATCACACAACAGGAGTGATCTCATGGATGTGTGGATCGCACCGGATCCTGGAAGATGCCACAGGGCTTTCGACCAAATGTGGTTTTTCTAGGTGTACAGTTCACGTAATACAGCACTCAAAGTGCAAATGAACGAAATAGCTAAACAGCACCTTGGTTATTTGACTCTTAAGTTAGTTGTGACGGTTTTTGCACTCAACGCAAGGCCTTATAACACATGACAGGTTTCCGCATCTCAAAAATTTATTTTTTGAAACAAAAGCAGCTCGGATGGCTGGAAAGTGCTTGGACGCTTGAAATCAGAGTTAATTTGCTTGGAAGAAGTGTCTTGCCTACCAGGAGTACACCATATACTTTCACTTGCGAACTAAGCTGGTGTTTACAGGAGATTCAGCTTAATCTCAGCTGTATCTCTTTTTCGCAAGTCATAAATCAAATCATCAAATCATAAACGGGAAATTCACCCGATTCAGTTGAGTCACCAGTTAACACCGGCTTAATTCTCAGGTGTATGATGTTCAAGTAGAACAGAAAGTTGACGGAAACTCAGATACTGCACTCAGCTGATGAGCCTAAAAATGGACAAAGTCTTCCGTGGGTTATTGAAGAATCCCCATCAAACTTGTTAGTAGTGCGTTCTGTGAAGACTAGAAGTCATTTGGCTCAATCAGATGAACATTATGGGTGACTCATATAATGCTGTCAAAAGAAAATCCAAAAAAATTCTACAAAATTTTCATGTTTTGCTTCCCAGATGTAGGTGTGTGGATTATGGCAGACAGAAAGCGGACTACTGCTGCAGAACAACATTAATTTGATAGGATAACCTGACTATCGATAACGCTTGGGTGTTCTACTGTGTCTTCTGTAGGAATAGTTGATTAGAAATATCAACCAGCTACGTCCTTTCACAGTAATTTACAAGGAGAATCAAGTTCTACGGAAGCAGTTTATAACTTGAAACTGAACATGTCAACAAAAAAGACATACAAAGCGGATCATTTCCCTGCCTCTCGGTCATTCCAAGGCAGTTAAGCGTGCCGATTCATATAATTATTCAAGCGTCACCTCCCCGTGCGAGAAGATGCGCACGTCCTGATTGACTGTGAGGGCTTTTTAGATAGCACTGATAAACTTAGCGTAGACTATTGTGCTCAGGAATGTCACTCAAAGCCTACTTATACCAATAATGTATCGTTTGTTCCATAGAAGTTGACTGTAGGCGAATTCTGATAACCATGCTGTGATACAAGCCAGTGGACGTATATGTGGATTGGTTACTTTAAGCGGAAGTCAGATTCGATTGTCCTGATAACCTGAACATGAAAAATTACCAATCAGTCGAAGATCCTATCTGAACTCCTTACCGTGCGGTACATCAGCACGCAGGCCTACATGTTGTATAAATACCGGCTGTTGTGCCAAATTTCAGATATCAAGGGGATTATTTTGAATAATTTATCATGAATAGTATCGTTTGCGTAATGAGGGAATTTAGGGGATACGTATCAAAGCAGCTTACAGGAGGGTAAAACAAAAGGCTGGCTTCTAGCTTCCTCATAATGCTGCACAGTGGCTGTTTCAGTTGATGACAATGCGAAGATCTGTGGTGACATTTTGTGTTCATTATCCATTGTGAGACTATTATGTTTTAGACAGGTTGGCACCAACATAGTATGGTAAAATACAAATAATCAATATACATACTCAAAAATCAACCGTCTGACCTAAGGGCTATTCATTTGTTAGGTTAAATGGCCAAATTCTCCACCCACCACAAACAACCATTCCCTCAGAAACTACCGCTATAACCGTGTCCCGTGGATTGGCGGAACCACTGCTGTGTGTATGTGGAATATCAAAGGAACTTTGAACTTAAATTAGCTGGATCTTTTACCGTTCAACTAAATATTTTCAAATTACGCTCATTAGATCTTTTCGAACGAAATCAAGAACTGTCAAATTTTGTCAAAGGGCTGTTGGACGTACACCGCATCAATCTTTTAAAACAATTCCACACAGCTTGTTTCCGCAGTTTCGTGGAAGAGTAAAATGAGCTTTTGACTGAATTTCAACTTCATCCGTGACACAATCAATCAATCAATCAACGACAGCATGACATCAGTGCTCAACACCAATGCTTCACTGCCGTACAGCCATGACTTATTTGAAAGCCTTATTGTAAAGAAAAGAATAAAGGTGGATGGGGGAGGGACTTAGTGCTAGCTTAACACAATCATTCCGAGGTGTCTACACCTCCAGACATTCACTCAGGTGGTCTGGATAGAAACTGACAACAAGAACGCCATTGACATCGGTTGGCAGCCATATCTTGTAGTGTCTCCAACCAGGCACAGTGAGGATCACGCGGTCCCCATCCTGGAAGGCGAGTAGCACCGACAGCACCCAAGCGTTTCGTGATCTCCTTCATACTCCTCTGCCAGGTCATGGGTTGGCCACCTCTCTGTTTACGCCACTCCGCGGCACACCGGCGCTTCGCGACCAGGAAACACCGACTGATCGAATTCAATGTAAGTTGCCCAAAAGCTTGTACGTCTTGTTGAGCCGGTGCGTTTAAAAATGAAAAGCGTACGACACACAGGCTATCTAGCAAGGCTTCGACTGGGAATTTACCGGCGCATTGCTGTTAACGATAACCTTTTTGATTAAGACGCTATATTTGCGTGTATTAACTTAGGAAAAGTAGAGTATGCCATTCTTTTTTCTGTCGCCCATGTAAGTTCGTTGGGCCGAATTCACTTGTCAGTTCGTCTCCGCTGACCTAGATGATATTAGCAATCACTGTCAGGACCATCATTCAGGAAGTTTACGCCCAGAAAAATGAGAAACTGACCCCTTTGTAAATGATCTAGGCCGACTGCCAAACGACCAATATGGTGAAGCTACCCAAATATGCCGAATTTTTTGCATGTGCTTTGTACTATTCTTGAGATCTGATATAATATGATCAGTATGGTCCTTCAGCTAGGAATTTTGCCAGGAATTTCTTCTCACAACTGGCGGTTTTTTTGCAATAAGGGTACGAAGGGTACGACGAACACTGGAGGTGATAACATGAAGATGGACGGTTTTATGGTAAGTGGATATTAGCTAGAGGCTGCAGTAGCTGTTCGTGCTACATCTTCATACGTGGCTCCGAACAATCAACTCAATTACCAGACACTTCAACCTAATACTCTCTGGGGATCACAGAAATTCGATTCCAAATGTTCTATCCTAATCCAGCGAATCTTACTGGGGCGATCTATCCAGGGAATCAGAATTTTCCATGGGTGTAACTGTTTATAGGCTACATTTGATAGCCCTCGAGCAGCTGTTATTTGTTACCATGCCTGGAAGAACAACGTGTGGCCCAAATCCCGATATAGGCAGAACACGTGCGGAATACCACACCCACCACCGAAACAGGGGCCCACAGGAATCTAGAGAAAAGGACAACGCTGCCCGTTTATCGATCTTGAGGGTTGGTAACACAAGGGCCAAAGGCACCAATCACACGCATCTTATGATCAGCTGATTGGCTGTCGGTGATCAGCTGTCTATCGCCGGTTGATTGGCGAGCGTTTCTGATTGGTCTGATATTTTGCATTGCCTTTGTCAAGGCCGCGGTAAGCAATTCATTCGTAAGCCTGGTTGTCTGTCTGTTGTGGTGTGCTTTCTGTGATGTTCCCTGTAAGGTTTCGAAAATTTGGAAAACAGTTAAACGACGCGCCTACAACTGACACACCGGTAACCAGGCTAACGCAAATATTATCGAAAACTAGTTTTGAGGAGCCCCATGATGGCACTTATCCCACTCAGAAACGTGAGTCATGAAAACATCAATTATGATGACCATTTCAGTTTCTATGATTTCTGAACATACCCCAGTTGACCTCGATGAGTGGTAAGTTGTATTTTGCACTTAGGTGATCTGTGTTTAAAGTGCTAACCAAGAACCTCCGATCCAACTTGCTGGCTGGGCCCATTCTCGTGTCCGTGATAAGGGTGCTCCAGCCACCTCAAAACCGTTGCTTTCGAGGGATTTTTCGAACAGTTGTTCATCTGGTTATAGTTCGGCATCCCAGTCTGCTCCACCTACCTGTAACGCTGAGCGAGTAAGTCGGAAGAAATAACTATACCTATAAACAACAGGTGCTCAACTTCGCCTTTGGATGGGCACCTTCAACAAACCCGGTCTTCTCTAATCAGTCTCAGTTAACACTCGGAAGAAAGCCTGACGGGTTTGGCTCAAGCCCTCCAACACTTAGACGTACTCAATCCTGCTATAGTCGCGGATGGCTGTCCAAGCGCCATCGTGCACAGAACTGGCCTCGCATCTCTGGAATAATGAAATCGTTCTCCGGGTCTATGTCCCCTCATATTGCGGATACGAACTCATGTCCGGCAGCACTGACCAGCGGAATCCAGTCAGGTGTTCAATACCCGGAGCCCCCTAAGAGATTGTCCCTGCCTCCTCTAGGCGAACGGTTTTCACCCGTACCCGACACCAGTCCCTCACATGCTCCCACTGGGTTTGACAAGTTCAACTTTTCGCGCACCAGTGCAGAGGGTGATGGGCATTTGGATGTATCCCTTGATTGTTCGGGTCTGCCTCAAGCAAAAAAGCTACGGATGGATAATGAAGCTTCGGCGTTCCCAATTGCACCGGCTGACTCCTCTCGTGAGGACAAAGTCGATGTTGACAACACTTTGCCATTAGATGATTCTAGATGTGACGCAATGCATAACTCATCGGAGCACGTAAAGTCTGGTGCTGGCAAAGCGAAAGTGCCTTTCGAGGTGTTTCGTCACCATTCAACCCCGTTGGTTTCTGCGCGGCCACTACATCTTCCCTTCGTTTGTCAATTGGTATCGTCGCCAACGCCTCAGATACCGTTGGCGAACAAACCACTTCTTTCCAGGAGTAGTTCCGTCCCTATATCTACTATTTCTGAAAAGGTGAGTGCCATATCTCAGTATATCACACACTCGCGTTCTTTGAAGCAGTGTATAAGTATCCCAGTTTTGTGTTATCCGGGCGCCTGCAGTCCGTGGGTCGAAATTAGTTCCGTTTGAAGGTACTTCATAGGGGTTGGTCTCTTGCTGTACTGGATTCGGCCTAAGAAATATTCCGATACGGTTTGATCAACGTCATGGACAACGCTCCTGCTTTACCACAGTACCACGTTGTCGGTTGCCCTAGAGTAAGCCCTAAGTGGAAAAGGCTGGGAGGGCAGACGGTTCTAGCGGTATGCTACCCCTAACACCCGATGTGTTGGCAGTTCAGACCCGCAGTTAGACCCCCTGGCTTCGAACTGACATTGCGAATACCATCAACATGGGTCAGCAGTTATATCCCTATCTCTGTAGCCAAGCGTATTGATGGTCACCCTGATCCCGCCTTGGAGTTCATCATTCATGCTGGTTTTCCAATGGTTCGATCTAGTGCAGGAGACGAGGATCATCGCAATTACATCCCCCCGGTTATAAATACGTTACGGGTTGTGCGTTCATTTGTTTCGACTTGAATCATACACAGAATATTACATTCACTCGTTACCCACGTTACCAGCGTGACATTGATCCGACAGTATTCTTGGCTTGGAGAGTTTTTACTGATGGTTTGGTACGGCGGATTGATGAGGGTAAGCTCCAGACTATCTCTAGTGCAGCGCTAGGAGCCATGTTCCCCATGGTGGATTTTAGTTTTGGGTATCCTAAGCCAGTGTTCTATTAAAGTCCAACTTGTTTCACTCACCGTATCCCAGAGTTGGCTGCACATAGGTTCAGTATGGAACACGTTTGTCTTTGTCGGATGGCTTCAAGTAATATGGGTCGTAGACAGCACGACGGATGTCAGGCACAGGCTCGGGCACTTACTATTTTTACTGGAAGACATCTTATGATAGAATGTGAGTGAGATATCAGTATCAACTGACCTGACAAGCTTTCGACTTGTCAACTCCAACTTTGCTGACCAGTTACGTGAAGCGTCTAGCGCACATTGTGCCTGCCTTCCGAATGTTCTGCTTTCAGACGACCTCATTTTGAGAGATTAGTCGGCTTCAGTAATGTCTCGGAAGTATGCTACCCTAGCACGGTGATCGGCTGCCACATCTGCACAAATCGAGATCCAAGTCGGTGCGGAAGACTGTCCAGCCCCAAAAGCTGCGTTGGTTAGGCCATGTGCTGCGTATGCTGAACCATCGTTTTCCGAAGGGAGCTGTTTCCATTGCCCAATTTAGGGTGGTGGAAGAGGAGAGGTGGCCAACCCTTGACCTTGCAGAGGGGTATTAAAGATCCCCACTGCGTCTAGTTGGAGATGCCGCAATATGTGGTTCCTGATTGATATCAGTTTCTAAATAGATTGCCTGAATGCTCCTGGAAGTGTAGGTACCTCAGGGTGATTGTAGTAAGCTTACACAAGGGTCGCAAGGGTTGCTAGGACGAATTTGAGCCTGCGCCNGTTTGGGCATCTCTTTCCCTTGGTCCTTGCTCGGTATCGGACGCTCTCAGACATCGGCAACATCCGTGTAGGTTACTTCGACAGCTGGGTCGAGTTTTGGTACATTGATTCTAAAGGCCTTCGATTGTTGGTGCAACGACTTGGCCTGTTACATTTCGGATTTAGTTAAATTCAGACGCGAGCCGTGTATGTAGGTACGGTGGTTCGGATGGCCGTAGCGTATAGTAGCTGGTAGTGTAGGATAAAGGGAATGCGAAAATATATGTAAAAAACACCGTGAAACACAAAAGAGCCTGAGAATAGACAGAACACCGTCGCTGGTTGCGTAGTTTGTCCTTGTCAGTGGGTACCCTAAGCTCACAGACGACGTGCACCAGAGGAACCAAGGTTCTTTATTATGTTCTTCACGTTCCGTCTCCAGTTCGTGCGCTGTCCACTTTGTGGTACCCCCCTCTCGAAACCTTCCTCCAAGGTAATAATTGTCGTTCAGCTGTAACATGGTTTGGGCGCCTAGGTGCCATGCCACCCGAACGAAGCACGAGGACTGGGATACTACAGGTTACCCAAGCCTAGCCAGGGGAATCTAGATTTTGAGGTCTGGTTTGAACCACATGCCTTCCGGTCAGTAAATTCACGCTCTAACCAATGAGCCATCTCATTCCACAATAATACAAAAGCACAGTTCCTCAGCAAACTGGACACCGCAGGGCATCTGATCGCTTGGTATATGGAGGACATGGTCGAGCCAATGTTATGCGAAAATCATTATGGCGTTAACGTGGTAGCCGTCACATCCAAGATGCTCTCCGGCACTATTTGGCGAAGATTGATCGGTGGTAACGAGAGGCAATTTTGTGGAAACCAAGTATGCATCGACCTTGTCGTTAATCCGAGACAAGTTCTTGAGCGGTCTCACTCTTTCAAACATCCCACGCTTCTGGTTTTTCTCGATCTGAAAGCACCTATTGACTGCGTCGATTTTCAGAAAATTTGGCAGTGTCTAATAATCATAAATGTTCCTTTCAAATCTCTCCCCCTTATTAGGGCACTATGCAAACACTTCTGGACGGGTACGATTACATAGCAAGTCATTGCCTGAGTTAACGACGTTTAGTGGTGTAAGACAAGGCTGTCCTCTCTCACCTCTTTCCTTCGCTTTGTTATCGATATACTACTTGTAGTTTCTTTTCTGCATGGTAACAGGTCGTTCGCTCACAGACATTAAGTATACGGACGATATTGTTTTTCTGGGTCCAGATCCTTCAGAATCAACCAAAATCAACCCAAATAATCTAAGTAATGCTGCCACACGGTTCGGTATACGCTTCATACCTGTACACTGTTGAGTGCTGCTACAAGGGTAGGTGGGATCTTACCCAAACCTCACCAACCAGTCGACGTGATAGGTAAAGTTCTTTACCTGGGCAGTTGTATGAATTCCTGAATCTGAAAGGGCAGGTCAGCGTTTGCGAACCACTGACACCTACGGCGCCGACGTGACTTCAGTTTGTCTGTCACTGGTAAAGTACAGACTGCGTTGGTACGGTCTGTACTGTTTTGTGGATCGGAAACATTGCCCCTACGCGCAGAGGACTTACGGAAGCTGCTAATGTTTGACCAGTGGTTTCCGAAGCTGGTTAGGGCATATGCTCCACATGCCTCCGTCTGCCTCATATAGCTCTTTTCGCCCGGTTATGTGCTGAGTGGAAGTAACAGAGAGATAGGCATTGTATGACCTGGCAACGAAACATGAAAAACTAATAAAAAAAACTCAGTTGCGTCGACAACCACCATTCCCGTGGATGGGAACTGCGGAGGTGAGCTCACGAATAGCTAACGATGCTGACAAATGGCTCAATCACGCAGTCAGTGGCGCTCGTTGATCAAAGCTATCACCTCCAAAGCGTTGCTACCCATTTCCCGAAGTAACTAGTTATGACCACCTCAAATGCTTGGCTATACCTCCTGCACTGTCCCATTTTTCGGTAACCGAAACTCCAATAGCTGAAACCGACGTACCTTTGGTACCCGGTTTATGACTGATAAACTGAAATGAACGGTCCAGGGTGGTTGGTGCAGCCGAATCAGCTCTTCAGTCGGACCAGCATTTGATTGTTGCTAAAATCCATTCGTCTCCACTCAGCGTTACTACTTCGATGTCCCCATTATGTGTGTGCAAAGCTTTGAAGACAATTATGGTTGAAGATTAGGAATTTTCTCGCCATCTACGCGCAGCGTCCAGGCTTCACAGTAAAAAACAACAATAGACGGACTGTAGCGTTGTAGAGCCTGTCTTTCAACGATGTCAATTTTACGTTGACCCCAGAGATGCCAAGGCAGAGTGGGTTTTAACGACTCCAGCACACTTTTTGTCCAAGATGCAGCCATCTCATGCCCTGACCAGTTTTGATTCACTGGCCCAATCTGATGAGAGTACTTTGCATTGTGGATGTGCAGAGCCCATGCTAAAACGTATACTAATGTTGTTTATATTATTCGGTGTATTTTGTATCCGGATGGAATCTGAGCCAAAAAGCTCCATACTCCGAAACTTTAAGGTCTTCTCCGGGAAGAAGCTCTCTGCTGGAAGTAGAAGAAAGCGAACGTTTCTTCGATGAGTAGTTGGATCGCGAAATTGAAAAGGAAAGGTCAGACACCAATTTTGTTGGTAAACTCAGGGGGATGCTTTCCGTAGACCATCACCTCTCCACCAATGTTGGAGTATATTGCGTCCAAATGGGTGATGAGAATATTTGGAGGACCTTTGAAGGAGCAACATCGCTAGAAAGCAGCGCAATCGGTTGAGTCGGACAGTGCCTTTAGATCTGTATGTGTGGTGGTTTTCAAGTTGTCGTAAGGTATAGGTGTGGTCCGTGCATCCTTGACCCAGATGCAATCCTATATTACAGAATCCATTTTTATTTATTTGACCTTTTCCAATCACCACTTCTCCCAGTTAATCTTGAAACCGCAGATCAGGTCTCGTTTGAGGAATCTCCCTGCTGAATCACACTGTGGTCCCGGCGATACCGCCTTCCTTACCCCAATCAAGGACGTGGATCACTGTAATACTCAACTTGAATTGGACCGCGGCCTTGTTTGATTATCCAGCTAAATCAGTTTTTGTTACTGAAATTAGAGACCGGTGCCTCTATTTCTTTTGATAAATTAAGAAACTCCGCTGCTTCTGTGCTGCACGGTCAAATGTTACTTCTCAGTTGCTCAGACCAGAAAAGAAGGTTGTTTGATTTACTCCACCTTGAACCTTTCTTCGAAATCCTGACCCACAAGGCAGTGAAAGGATGTCCCGTGACCCCATCATCATCGACAGCATGACATCAGTGTTCAACACCGATGCTTCACTGCCGTGGCCCCTAACTCAACAGTCTGACCTGGGGGGGGAGCTTTCTTGGAGTCAGTTACTCAGTCTTTACCACTTGATTGTAAGAGGCTTCCCTGGACCGGTGGCGCAGGTAGTAGTGTACATTTATCTGACTACTAATGCCACCTTGCACCGTAACACAGCACTAAACTCTACGGCCTCAAAAGTGCTTCGACCGTATTGAAGTATAGGCCGGCAGTCATAGTCAGCATTTAGGTGACGGGAGTGTGCGGTTTTTAGGACCGACGTTTTCTAACCCATCTTTCTTTGGAGGGAGGCATCATGCCCGCTGGTCGTCTGGAGGCAACACCTTGCTGTATCCCTTCCTATCCCATAAGGGAATATAAGTTCAGTCGTGTATCCCTTCGTATTACGATTACTCGTAGAACGGTGACTTGCTGTTTTTTTTGCCTCGTTGCTCTCCTTTGGCATTCATGGCCTGGTCTAACTTTGAGGAACTAAATTGGAGCCGATATAGCCCGGTAGATCATTTTACACTCAGTCCCCACCACCAGGTTGACAGCTATTGGTCGGGTTGTGGCATCGACGGTGGTAGTTCGCATTGGTCTGGTATAGAATGAAAGGTTTTGAGGCCACTGCAATGCTGATCTTGGACCGCTACAAGTCTTTTACCGTCTCTGTTGATTGATATTCCCGGTCACAGACCCAGGCATGCGTAACAGCCTCAAGACAGGTGATACTCTAGCTTTTCTTCAACCTTGTAAGCAGCCTTGTATTAGGAGCAATACCTCGAAGTCGTAAATATAGTTTCAACTGTAACCGAAGGCGGCCTTTATACAGCGCTCTTTGTCGACGACCACTACATGCGATTGGTTCGGTCGATTCTTTTGCCAGTGCCACCTTAATTTTCAAATTAGTATATACGGCACACGAATACAAAACAAGATTGAGCACTGTGCCTATTTGGTGAGACTCAAAGTGCTTGAAACCGGTGGTGGACTATGCAAAGGTTTCAACCACCTCAAGTTTCACCAAGTTTCCGCTTATTCGTGTCCGAAACCCATTGATTTCTCCCAGACCCCGCCTTATGCCCTCAAGTAACGGAAGTTGATTTACTCATGAATGTCTGAATATGAAACCGAAGTTTCAAATATCCAGTTCTTACAAAGATTGGCGGACTACATCAGTTTGTTTATGCATATAATTTCTGGTTTTCTTTGCGTTTTATCCTTCTACTGTAAGCTCTGTTGACCTGATCTTTTCAACAGTTGGGGCGATGCATCAGCATACTGGATAATCCGAACTTCCGCTGTGATGGGAGGCGACCCCGTGCGTTACCCGTTATTAGCAGGACTGATTCCGGCTTGCACTGCGTCTCGATCGACACTGTAGCGGAGTTAGTGACCAATCCGGATGATAAACGTAATCCCAGCTTCGTGATTATTGATTGTCGTTTTCCGTATGAATACGATGGTGGGCACATCAACGGTGCAATTAACATCTTCACACATAGTGACCTTGTTTTGGAGATTTTCAACCGCGTCCCTGCACAGCGCCCACCGGGCTCCTCTGGACCTCCAAAGATCCTAGGTGAATGTTTGGCCAAGCGACTTGCACTAGCCCCTAGAGAACCATTGTCTGCGCCCTGCGAGCCCATATCGGATGAGGAATCAGACGAAGATGACCTTGATTTGGGTCAGTTCACTTCGGAAGCGTCGCAGTTGGAGTTGGCTGTTGCCGCGGCCAATGAAAACAACAAGTCCGATCCGCCTGAAGATGGGACTGCCGACAGCCGATTGGAAACGGACATAAGCAGTCTCAGTAGTGGGACAAATTTCAGTGGTTCGTGTGGATCACAGGAGTCCGCATTTGTTGTGATATTTCATTGCGAGTTCTCCTCTCAACGAGCTCCCGACCTGTGAGTTTATGCTTGTATCCAATTTATGTTTGATACGGATCCGTGTCCAGTCGCTCTCTATTCGTGGTTCTGTTTTTTTTAAGCTGTAGTATTGAATGTCGGCTTTATATCCACCAGATGTTTCTGACTGAACTCTGTAATATACTTTGTTCCTTTCTTGTACAGTTATGCTACACATTTCCGTTGGTATCTTATTAAGAGCACTTGATGACTTGTTTCACAGGACCGTTGAAAGAAGCACAAAAGAAGGCTTATACAATGTTTTCTAAATTTTCGATCTTGACGCTTGTCTGCACATTTGACATTTTCTAGTTCGCACATCAGAAAAGCTCGCTTTTTGGTATGAGGCCCCACTCAAGTCAATGTGAATTCGTTCAGTTCTGTGACGAGTCAGCGTCTGAAATATGTTCTGCTAGACAGATGCGACGAATGCGATATCTTTTGGAGGGTTGCAGCCAAAGACTACTGATAAGCCGTCCTGGTGCATTGAATAACTGGACATTCTTGCAGGAAGTTATGTCGATATGTTCTTCCTCTTACGAGACAGCGATTCTCGCCAATGACCAACTGGTGTGTTGCGCGCTACCCTTGGGGGCGAGATGGCCCAAGTGGTTAGAGCGCAATTTACTGACCGGAAGGTCCGTGGTTCGAATCCGACTTTCGGGTGGCATGGCAGCTAGGCACCGGAAGGGTGCTACAGCTGAACGCTTTCTCTTTTTCTTAATCCACTAAACGAAAGAACACGATGGAGAGAGGGATACTTGGCCTCCCTAGGCCTACGAAATACAGTGGCGATCTGGTTTAGAGCGTTCGTTTTGGATCCTCTCTTCTTCGATGAACTCACTTTTGAGTAAGATATTCCGCACAGTTGGACACTGCTTGGGCAGGACAACGATTTAAGTCTTTGTACTACGTTTCTGGTTAGTAACGTGTGCTTACCATTGAAGGTTGTGTTGGGCTTCAATATAAAAAGGGCTGTTTTGTAGCTTTCGGTGGAAGTAGAATGTATTTAAAATAGCTGTGTTTACGCAAGGGAGATCACATGACTTAAATCTGACAACGAGTTGCAATTCCGAACAATGCGGTCGAACTTAACCGAATTTTCTATTGGTTTGCCCTCCCGCGCCCTTGTGAGTCCAAAAGACGCTATTTATGTCTTCAGAAACTCCACCCGATTGCTTCACAGGTTAGCTATGAGCCTTGTTTTTTCGCGATTTGGATAGAGACATTGCTATACCATCTACTCTACTCTCTCTCACAGGGCGGCATTCCTGCGGAGCGTTGATCGCCTATCCAACTACCATCGTTACCCTTTCCTCTACTTCCCGGAAATCTACGTTATGAAGGGTGGTTATTCGGCTTTCTTCCAAAAGTACTCGGTAAGTGATTTCGAAGGTTAAAAATACCGAATGCATGGAACATGTTTTAGACAGTACCACCAAATCACTGTTATTTGGCGCAAAACATTTGTTTTATCCAGACTGCTGCACAGGCTTATCCTCCTAGATTCGGCGAAAGTTTAAACAGACTCGCTGTATTCTGCTACTAATTTGTATTGTTGATGGTGCGTTCTGTGGAACAGTCAACAATGTCAGGTCTTGTTTGCATACTGTTGATTGCTTGACACCAGAGTTCGATGATCTGATTTGTTACCGGATTGCAATTGTAACAGATAATCGCTGAATGATTCAGCACCATTGAACTCAGTCGGTCATTACCTTTAATCCCAAGCAGTCCACTTCCTGTTTTCCATTTCTCAGTGTTCGAAACTGCATCGGCTAGGACCGACATTTCCCTGGAACTTAGTTCATAATTGACCAACTGAATGAACTACCCGTCTCCCTCTGGAAAAACCCCACGAAGCGATCGGTCGGTGGTTAACTGTTTTATGAGGTGACGTAGCACGTTTCTATGACAGCCGTCCTAATAGTTGTTGGTTAACTTCACTGTATGACTACCTACCGGGGTATCCTTCGGTCATGGTGTCGTACACCCTCTGTATACAGGATCGCCATCTCTCGCGCGAGAACCAAGGATGGTCATACCTTCTACCTCTCGCTAGGTTAGCTTTCGATGAATTCTTATCAGACGTTTATGTTGATCGAGATGCCTCGGTGGTTAGGGTGCGAACATACTGACCGAAAAGTCCGTTGTTCGAATTAACATTTGCATCTGGAGTGTTCCTTTCTCAGCTTGGTTGGCCTGACAGTATCTCAGATTTCGTGCTTCCTTCGAATGGCAGCTAGACACCGAAAAAGTGTTGCAGCCGAACGGTTATCATCATTATTTATGCTCGACAGGAAACACAATATGTTCAGTTGTAGTTAACAGCTTCAGAGTATGCAATATGTTGTTGCTTGTGAAGCTAAGGTGATGCTGAGTTGTGTCGGGCGGAGTCAGCCGAATGATTACGCTGATGCATTCCTCCAAGAGTTTCTGCAATTTACCGGCTCAGTTTGGTATTTATCCCCTCCCCCTGTAGCTAACTGCTTGTTCGTGCCTGCAACTTCCCTACAAGTTAAAGTTGGGGAAAGTAATCGGATTAGATAAACTTCTAGTGCTTGAAACCAACTTCCAAAAGATAGTTTAGGCATCTAGAAAACCCTTCAGAAAGTTGTATCTTGAAGTCACGATGCATCAGTTAAATGTTACACTTGTCAACAGCATGAAATCATCAGTTCGCAAAACACATCGTGGCATTGATATGGCGTTCGTTTATCTTTCCGCGCATCTAGTTAATTGGTCCTCCGTTGACCTACTGCGCGTTACTCGTTCAAATAATGTACACATGCTAATATTTTTCTTGAAAATCGCGTCAACCTTTCGTTGTGCTCCTGTGAGTTTCTGACTTGGTTGTCACTTACGACGGTGCGATAGGTGGGACCCTCCGTATCGGAGATAGCTCAGTTGTAAAATCAGTTAAGCGCGTCATACAGGGGTGAGGTAATAAAATCGTAGGGATGATAGTAAAGGACATTTCTGAAACCATCAACGCACCGCCGTAAAGGTTAATCACGATCGACTTGGATGAAGGCCGTCAGGCAGATGCGTCTTAAAACAAGCAGGAATTAGTATAGATATCCGCATCATCTAAAGCGTTATACATAGGACTCAATAGGACGAGGTATTTCCTCGTGTGGTTGCACTGTCATGCCATATTTTTTCTTGAACACTTTGGGGAAGGTCGTCGCTGCCTCATGAACGTATACTATTCAGCAATCGTAACCGATTCCGAAAGGCTGACCAGGATACTGTCAGGTGGATTCTTCACTTACTGACGCGTTTCTTGTTTGCTGTCTCTACTCACTGGGATGGTCAGTTTACTATTAAAGCGGGGACTGCCAATCAGCATTCTTATTTTCTCTCCCTTGGATGTTAACGCATCATGGCAGCAGCCTGAGTCTCGATCGAGGTAGCGAGCATCTCCAAGCCCCTCTACAGCAGTTTTCACCTGATATCTATCTTTCTGTGCTCTTCATACCCCTTCTTGATTTAGCACATATGCACGCCACAAACGTACGTGAAAATGTCTAACCGAGACTACCGAACGCATTTCCGTCTCTATCGGCGTTTGACGAAACGCGTCAGTTCGGCTTGCACTGCCTGCATCCGGCCACAGCATAAATTGTTGGACCAACCGGTTGTGGATCCGATGAACAGCTTCGGACAAACATCACTGACAAATCGTTCGATGGAAATTGCAAAGCAACCCCTCGGATCAATCTTTCCAACGCTGGACGTTCGACCGCAACCGGCCGGTATTGTGGCTTGCGAGGATGAAGCTATGCTTGTCCCGATGGACGCGTGTGAAGATCAAGAAAATATGAACAACACTTCCGGTTAGTTATTTCCTTTATGGTCGATGATCTGAATGCCGGTAACAAGCCGTTCGTGTCCTATTATAGTGCACCGTGTCAGAAGCATCTGATTCAGCGTGATAAGTGCCAGTCTCATTATTACTTTTGTCTATGAAGGATAAGTCATACAGACGAGATAGATGAGTTGAGAACAGTCATTTGAATTTCCAAACATGGACAAAGAAACTAGGTTGGGAAAGAAAGTGACGGGTTTATAGCGCATCGCAGCGCACACTTTTTACCGTATACACAAACTACGTCACTCCACAAATCAACAAGGCTGGTGGTAAATAAATCTCGAGGTTGAGTGAAAATTGGTACCTTGATGGACTGCTGCTCTCACGCAGGCCGTACATTCTACTAAGAAAGTTCTGAGAGAATGGAATAAAGAAATATGGGATAAAAAACTACCACATTTGTACAGAGATGGCTCAGTGGTTAGAGCGCGAATTTACTGACCGAAAGGTCCTTGGTTCGAACCCGACTTCTGCCTCTCGACTTCCCTGTCTAGGCATGGGTAACCTGACAGTATCCCAGCCCTCATGCTTCCTTCGGGTAGCATGGAAGTTAAGCACCGAAAGGGTGCTACGGTGAAACCATTTTTTACACCTGCACAAACACTCCCAAACATCCCAAGCATCGTGCAAGTCTTTACCGATTAACACAGCAGTGTGATGTTCTAGAAGTAGGGCATGTTCTGAGTAGTCGTAACCACTTGAGGTTTTTCTATTACTCACCCAAGGACCGAACTGAATATGCCGTTGGGTTGGGTTGATTTGAGTTGCTCTTATGAATTGCACGATTCACTGTGCAAACTGCGATGCACTATTGTGTAGTCTGTGTAGAGACGAAGATCACTACAGAGTCGGAGTTTGTGCAGACTCCGTCACAGATTGTGAAGCAGCTGAGACTAGAGTTTATGAAAAGTTTTCCGCGCTGAAATAAGCAATGGCAAGAATCCGTCGGAAAGTCTGCCGCCGAACACTCGTTGTAAAGCTAGCGGCAGCAATGACTTTTAGTCTTTCTGCCATTTCCTTGATGTTATTCCAATTAGCGTGTGATTCACTACTTATTTGTGTCTGGCCTAGTGAAGTGATGACCAAAACAGCGCTAATGTTGACTGGTTGACTGGGCGTACAGAATTCTGGGGGCGGGATGGCTCAGTGGTTAGAGCGCGAATTTACTAATCGGAGGGTCGGTGATTCGAACCCGATCTCTGCCTCTCGGCTCCCCCTGTCTATTCTTGGACGACCTCGCAGCACCCCAGTCCTCGTGCTTCCTTCGGTTGGCATGGCAATTAGACACCGAAAGGGTGTTAATGCTGAACGATTATCTTATACAGAGTGCATGACCACGCCGACGTCGTCAGCATACGTAAAATCTGTAAAGATGATTAGAACAAAAATAAGTTTAGGTATGAGACTAGTGGTTTGTGAGAAGCCTTGATGTATTTGAGTGTGGTAGATACTTACTCTGAATTCCTCGTCACAGTCGATCATTTTTCCGAGTATGTTAGCTCGTCTGTCTCCCCTTTCCCAAAGCGGGAGTTTAGCTCGTCTTTCAACGCGATTATTTTTTAAAATCCATTTTAGGTGCACCACTTAACAGCCCCTCCAACAGACCAGTCGAATCTCCAGTTAGCCGACGTTGTTCACCACACGCTATGTCAGATGTTGAAGACACAGCGTCGAGTTTGAGTGACAGTCCACTGAGTCTGGCGGAGACCGTGATTCGTGTGGGTCGGCGAGTGATTGCCGCAACACTGTGCACGGCTGACCCTTCGATCGGTGCAAACAATCTCTTGGAAAAGTTTAACAGTCAAATAGCAAAGGATGCGACCAGAGCTGGTGAATGTGCGCGACCTCGCGAACCCCTCAAACGCGCAAGCACTGTCGTTGGAATGGGTGATTGGACAGCGGAAAAAACGGCAAATCGGTCGAAACGCACTCCAACTCAACAACTTATCACAAATCCATTCCTATGTGATGAGTCCAAATTGCTGCAAACCACTCCAGCTTTTGATCGAACTCGCCCTGTCACAGTTATTCGCACACCGTTGAACTGTGTCAATAACCGACAGGGGGGGTTGGTGAATTTTTTTAACACCAGTCAAACCCCGATTATTCCCGGTCGAACCCGTAAACCATCGGCCTCGAGCAGCCAATCCTAAGTCTTTCCAGTTCTCCATTCACACCTTGATGAATTCCCACTTGGTCCCTCCCGCTTGCAACTGATAGGTGTGCATACGTTTCCCAGTTTACTACTTGTGATATGTGCATTTAGGTTCTTCCTCACTCCGTGCATTTCACAGCTGATCTATTGCTAACTGACTCAGTTCCTTTCATCAGTTTATCACTCAACACTCCCCTCTGATCCAACCGTGCACTGTAAAGTTACGTGTACGCAGAAAAAGAAGACTCGAGTGTACAGTCCGCATGAACTCTCATTTTCACTTATTCTTGTTATCTTTATTGCTGTTAGTATCGCCCCTCGGCTATTCTTCGCGGTTCTTTTTTAAAGTTCCATGTGAATCGTGCCGGCCTAGATTATTCTACTGACGTGATTTTCACTCCCATTCTGTGTTCACTTCTCTCCGACCCCATCGCACATGGTGACCCGATAGTAACTATCACCCCAACTCCATGGTGTTCGAATGTACGCCCTCGATCGGCCGTCTGTTCAGGTTGTGTTATAAGTGTTCTTGTTTTATCACCCCTGTTCCGCTTTCCTATTTCCGTGTCGTCGGGCGGCTTCGGTTTTTATTAGTTTTTTCTCACTTCTCGGGATGTTTTCACAGGGAGTGCGACACGGTTCTGAATTTTCTTCCCCGCCAGTTTATGTGTGTGTGTGTGTGTTTAGGTTCCGCATGTTTTTGCCCTCAGTTCAGTTTGTCTGCCCGTTTATAACTCGAAGATGTTTTTGTACCACAGCTACCGACGATTGGCAATGCATTAGCGATTTCGTTTCCTTTGTCACTCGTTTCGTGAATTGCATCCATTGTTGGTTGGTCGTAGCAGTCAAGAAGCATGCGGTCGATCTGGAATATGCAGACGACATCGTTCTCATGTTCGAAGAGGAGGAGAAGGCGCAATTATTCTTGGATGAACTGACCAAATTCATCCTTTGGTATGCATTTTGCACCCACAAAGTGTAAGGTCATGCTTGTGGACGTGCAGTCACTGAACACGCCCCTTACAATCCAGGGA